AGGAGGAGGAGGAGGAGGAGGAGGAAGGAGGAGGAGGAGGAGAGGAGCGAGGAGCGAGGAGGAGGAGGAGGAGGAGGTGGAAAAATGAGACGGAGGAGGGGGAGGAGACTGAGCAGCGATGAGCGAGGACGAGGAGGAGAAGGAGAACGAGAGGGAGCAGGAGGAGGAGGAGGAGGAGGAGGAGGAGGGAGGTGGAGCAGGTGGAGCAGGAGGAGGAGCAGGAGCATGATGATGCGCGAAGAGGACGAGGGAAGTGGAGGTGCGAGGAGGAGACGGGGGAGGAGGCGGCGGATGAGGAGGAGGAGCAGGAGGAGGAGCAGGAGGAGGAGGCGGAGGAAATTGAAAAGGAGGAGGAGGAGGAACACCAGGAGGAGGAAGGAGGAGGAGCAGGAGGAGGCATGAGAAGGAGGAAGAGCTTGGAGGGAAAGAGTAGCGAGGAGGAGCGAGGATGAGCGAAGGAGAAGGAGGGGGAGACAATGAGAAGGAGGACAAGGCGGAGGCTGCGGATGCGGAGGAAGGATGAGGAGGGGAGCGGAGGAGAGGGGGAGGAGGAGGAGGAGGAGCGAGGAGGCTGAGAGAAGGGAAGGAAGAGAAGGTGCTGAGGAGGAGGTAGGAGGAGGAGGAGGAGGAGGAACAGGAGCGAGAAGGAGGGACGAGGGAGGAGCGAGGACGCGCAGGAGGACGACGAGGGACAGGAGGAAGAAGGGGAGGAGGAGGAGGCGGGAGGAGGAGAGGAGGAACAGAGGGGAGGATGAGGAGGTGCCAGGAGACGGAGCATGCGACGGAGGGAGAAACGAGAGTGGAGGAGGAGGAGGAGGAGGAGGAGGAGGAGAGGAGGAGGACTGCAGGAAGGAGACGGGAGCATGGAGAGGAGGACTGAGATGGAGGCGAGAAGGAGGGGAGGCGGAGGAGGAGAAGGAGGAGGAGAAGGAGGAAGGAGAAGTAGGAGTGTCGTACATGTAGTGGAGGAGCGAGGAGCGAGGAGGAGGAGGAGGAGGAGCGAGGAGCGAAGAGGAGGAGGAGGAGGGCGAGGAGGAGGAGCGATGAGCGAGGAGGAGGAGAAGGTGCGAGGAGGGGAAGTAGGAGGAGGAGGAGGAGGAGGTAGGGGAGGAGCGAGGAGGAGCAGGAGGAGAATGAGGAGGATGAGGAGGCGGATGATGATGATGCTGGTGATGATGATGATGATGATGCTGATGCTGATGATGATGATGATGATGATGATGACGACGACGATGATGATGATGCTGATGCTGATGCTGATGCTGATGCTGATGATGACGATGATTACGATGGTGATGATGCTGATTAGGATGATGAGGGTGATGATGGTGATGGTGATGATGATGATGATGATGATGATGATGATGATGATGATGATGATGATGATGATGATGATGATGATGATGATGATGATGATGATGATGATGATGATGCTGATGATGGTGATGATGATGGTGGTGATGTTGGTGATGTTGATGAGATGATGATGATGATGATGATGATGATGATGATGATGATGATGATGATGCGGGTGGTGGTGGTGGTGGTTCTGGTGATGCTAATGCTGCTGCTGCTGATGATGATGATGATGATCATAAGGAGGAGAATGATGAGGAGGAGGAGGAAGTGGAGTCATAGGTGGAAGCGTAGAGAGCAGGGGGAGGTTGAGGGGGAGAAGGGAGGACGAGGAGGGAGTATAGTTAGTAGGAGGATGGAGGAGGATGAGGAGGAGGGGAGGATGGTGGTGGAGGAGGAGGAGGATGAGGAGGAGGAGATAATGTGATTATGATGTGAGTAGGAGGAGGAGGAGGAGGAGGAAGGAGAGGAGGAAGAGGAGGAGGAGGAGGAGGAGGAGAAGGAAGAGCAAGAGGAAGAGGGGGACGTGGAGCGATGATGAGCGGGAGGAGGTGGAGGAGGACCCGGAGCGTGGAGCGAGGAAGAGAAACATCCCATTCTTTCTCCCAACCATCCTGTGGTGTTGGGTCCGCGTTTTGAAGAGACGTCGCCTCGCTTTCTCCTCTCCTCTCCTCTCCTCTCCTCCTCCCCCTCCTCCCTCCTCCCTCCTTCATTTCGGCACACCCCTCACACGTTTCGTGGCTCCATAGGGAGCTCCGCCGAAGGCCCCAGTGCTGCCGCCCGCACGCGTCACGCACACCCAATTCGGCACACCCCTCACACGTTTCGTGGCCCCATAGGAGCTCCGCCGAAGGCCCCAATGCTGCCGCCCGCATGCGTCACGCACACCCAATTCGGCACACCCCTCACACGTTTCGTGGCCCCATAGCGAGTTCCGCCGAAGGCCCCAGTGCTGCCGCCCGCATGCGTCACGCACACCCAATTCGGCGCACCCCTCACACGCGTCGTGGCCCCATAGGGAGCTCCGCCGAAGGCCCCAATGCTGCCGCCCGAATGCGTCACGCACGCCCAATTCGGCACACGTCTCACACGCTTCGTGGTCCCATAGGGAGCTCGACCGAAGGCCCCAGTGCTGCCGCCCGCATGCGTCCCTCACGCCAAATTTGGCACACCCCTCACACGTTAGTGGCACCATTAGGGAGCTCCGACGAAGGCCCAAGTGCGCCGCCCGCCCCAGCGTCACGCACACCAATTCGGCACACCCCCACCGTTGCGGTGGCCCCATAGGGAGCTCCACCGAAGGCCCAATGCTGCCGCCCGCATGGCGTCACGCACGCCCAATTCCGGCACACCCTCAACACGTTTCGTGCGCTCCATAGGAGCTCCGACAAGGCCCCAGTGATGCCGCCCCGCAGTTGTCACGGCCACACCCACAATCCGGCACACCCCTCAAACGTTCGTGGCCCACAGGGGCGCCGCCGAAGGCGCAAGTGCTGCCCTCCCGCAGCGTTCACGCACACCTTTTCGGCACACCCCTCACACGTTTCGTGGCCCCATAGGGAGCTCCGCCGAAGGCCCCAGTGCATCCGCCCGCATGCGTCACGCACACCCAAGCCGGCACACCCCTCACACGCGTCGTGGCCCCATAGGGAGCCCCGCCGAAGGCCCCAATGCTGCCGCCCGCATGCGTCACGCACACCCAATTCGGCACACCCCTCACACGTTTCGTGGCCCCATAGCGAGCTCAGCCGAAGGCCCCAGTGCTGCCGCCCGCATGCGTCACGCACGCCCAATTCGGCACACCCCTCACACGTTTCGTGACCCCATAGGGAGCTCCGCCGAAGGCCCCGCCGATGGCCCCAGTGCTGCCGCCCGCATGCGTCCGCAACACTCATGTCGGCACACCCTCAACGTTTCGTGGCCCCACGGAGCTCCACGAAAGTCCCGGTGGGTGTGCCCGCCTGCGTCGGGTCCGCACATTCATTTCGGCACACCCTCCACGTTTCGTGGCCCCATAGGGATCTCCACACGTTTCGTGGCCCCATAGGGATCTCCTCCGAAGGCCCCAGTGCTGCCGCCCGCATGCGTCCCGCACACCCAATTCGGCACACCCCTCACGCGCTTCGTGGCCCCATAGGGAGCTCCGCCGAAGGTCCCAGTGGGTGGTGCCCGCATGCGTCCCGCACACCCATTTCGGCATACTCTTCACACGCTTCGTGGCCCCATAGGGAGCTCCTCCGAAGGCCCCAGTGGGTGTGCCGCATGCGTCCCGCACACCTATTTCGGCACACCCCTCACGCGTTTCGTGACCCCTCACACGTGTCGTGTACCCCAGAGGGAGCTCCACCGAACCCCCCAGTTGGTGTGCCCGCATGCGTCCCGCACACCCAATTCGGCACACCCCTCACACGTTCCGTGGCCCCATAGGGAGCTCCACCGAAGAAGATATTCACAAATGCGGTACTCACAATTGCACATGGTTGGGTCCTTCGCCAGGATAATTTATCAGTGCGCGCGTGTAAACGTCACGCAGCGCTGGGGCCTCGTCGGTTCTCGAGTCCAAGATGGCGTCGCGCGAGAGCAGGAGGTGCTTGCGCAGGTGGTCGGCGGCTTCTCCCCCATCCCCTCCTCCACTTGATCGGCACAGACGAAGCGGGGTCGGTTGCACTGCCAGTTTCACAAAGTTGCCCGCGTAAGGATGTGCCTAAGCGCCCTCGTTTCCAGTGTGGCGTGCCGCGCTGGCGGCCCGCGTATTCCACCGCGTGAGATCGCGATGCCAAAGCGCGTGCGACCCGTTTTTTCTCCTCGTTTTTGTTGTCCTCCCCCTTCTCCTTTTCCTTTCTTTTCCCTCCTCAGCGCCATCCCTTACGCTCTTCCAGGCGCCCCCGATCGCCGCCCCAGTGCTCCCCAAGCGTTCCACAGGCGCTCCCAGGCGCTCCTGGGAGCGCCCAGACGCTCCCCGGGCGGCCTCGCCCCACGAGGCTCCAGGAAGCACCAGGACTCAGCAGAAACCCCAGGGAGCGTCACGAGAAGCTCCAGGGGCCTCAAGAGGCCGCAGGAAACCCCAGGAAGCCCCAGGAAGGACCCAGGAAACGCCCAGGGAACCCTAGGAGGAAACCCGAGGATACCCCAGGAAAAACCCAAGGAGGCACCAAGAAACCACAGGAATCTTCAGGAGGTCCATGGAGGCCCCAGGAATGCCAGGAGGCTCCAGAAAACCCTGGGGGGGGGAAGTGGGGGCACATGAGCTCCCAGGAGGCCACAGAAAGCCCAGGATGCCCCAGTCGACGTGGTCAGGCCGACCACGAGAAAACAGTTCAATCTCTTGTCATGCAGACCGCCGCGCCCACCGCGTGGTGGTCGCGTAAGGATGTGCCCGCATATGCGGGGTGCTTGCGGCGCAGCCGCAGGAACATCCGCGCGGCTCCAGACAGTCCCCGGAGCTTCCGGGAGGCTCTCATGGGGCCGCAGGAAGCGCCCAGAGGCACCAGGAAACACCCAGGAACTTTCAATAATCCCCAGGGGGTAGACTCAGGAAGCCCCGGGAGGCCCCATGGCGCCCCAGAAGGCGCCCCAAGCTCCCTCGCGTCCTCCAAGTCGTCTGCGTCCCTCGCACAATCGTTGTGTCACTTCCTCCTCCTTCT